AAMMMCYTTTWWTWMCCCMAARGSCMMMAAAAAACGCTCTTAAAATTAACAAGAAGGAGCTGGACAGGCTTTTACACCAAACAATTGGGATTTGCAGAAGACTAAAGGCTTTGGGGCCTGGATGCTGCTGGGGGAAAGCAATGACACAAAATCAGAAAAACCTTAAAGTTGGGCTAAAAAAACCCCAAACCCAGTCTAACTTAAACCCAGGAAGAGCTTAAAATTAGGCTACAAAAAACCCCAGTCTAACTTAAACCCAGGAAGAGCTTAAAATCAGGCTACAAAAAACCCCCAAGCCTGACTTAAAATCAGCTCAGCACAGGAGTGAGGACACACAAAATCAGAAAAACCTTAAAGTTGGGCTAAAAAAACCCCAAACCCAGTCTAACTCAAACCCAGGAAGAGCTTAAAATTAGGCTACAAAAAACCCCAGTCTAACTTAAACCCAGGAAAAGCTTAAAATCAGGCTACAAAAAACCCCCAAGCCTGACTTAAAATCAGCTCAGCACAGGAGTGAGGACACGCTGGGGCTGCTGCTGCTCCCCCTCTCCTGCCAGCCCTGCTCTGGGGGTGCTGGGCCCCCCCTTCCTCACCTCTGTAGTGCTCCATCCTGGTGTGGTGGGTGATGCCCTGGGACCTGAAGCTCAGGCTCAGGATGTACCGGGGGTCGGAGCTGTCCCGCACCAGGAACGACCCGTCGGGTTTCCCCTTCAGCTTCATCTCGGCGTCCTCCCAGTTCATGGGGCCCCAGTACCACCCACACTGGGGAGAGAGGCAGGCAGAGGGGTCAGGGCAGGCCAACCAGGGTGGTTTGTCAGCAGCCAAATCAGGGGAAACCTGCCCCTGCTGCCGCATTCCCAAATGGAAGTGCTTTGTCTCCCCGACTTTGTATGGTCGGGGTGGGGAGGGCACCATCCCGTCCCTCACCACCCCAAAGGTGGGGAGAGGACAGAGGAGACCACGACACCCCCTCCCTGCACAGCAAAATGCTCTCCTGGGCTCAAAGAACTGTGGGATGATTTAGGCTGGAAAAGACCCCCGGGATGGCCGAGTCCAACCCTTCCCCCAAACCCACGGCCCCAAGTGCTCCACGTGGGTTTTTAGGTCCCTCCAGGGAGGGCAATTCCACCCCTGCCCTGAGCAGCCTGTTCCAATGCCTGTTCCACCACATCCCACCTAAACCCCTCCTGCTGCAACTTTCAGGATGCTTCCCCTTGTCCCCGGAGAACGGATCGACCCCCTGGCTGGGGGAAAGGCAGGAGGGGTTTTTCCCACCCCTACCCTAATCCTGTGCTCCCAAGTCCACGAAGGGAACGATCAACCCCCCCAGAATCAAACCCTGAAGGTGCAGTTTTTCCCTCCCCCCCCGTCCCAGGAGCCCCTTTACCTTCTCCAGCTCCCTCAGGCTGGCGGCGAAGCTGCTGGAATCGGGTCGGGAGAGGGGACACTGCAGGTGTGGGATGGGCTGGGCCACCCCCCCCTCTGGAGGCCGCACTGGGACAATCCTGGGAAAGGCATCTGCACAGGGAAAAACAAGCCAGGGCCACCATCAGCCACGGGAGAGCCCCCAGGGATGGTGATCCCAGTGATCCCAGCCCCTGGTACGGCTCCGGAGCTCAGGGAAGGAGGAGGACCCACAGAAGCCTCCCAGTGACCCCAGTGATCCCAGCAGCCTCCCAGTGATCCCAGCAGCCTTCCACGGGAGCAGCACCAGGGATGGTGATCCCAGTGATCCCAGTGATCCCAGCCCCTGGCACAGCTCCGGAGCTCAGGGAGGGAGGAGGACCCATAGAAGGACAAAATCCTTGTGAAGGACACAAATCCTTCCCTGTGCCTTCACCTGCTCCTCCTTACTCTGGCTCGGAGGGAAGGTGTGGGAGGAGAGGGAGGGATGGGCACACACATCCTGGAAAAGGGGCAGGAAAAGCCCTCTGGGTCCCGAGGAGAGCGAAAGCAAAAAGGGGGAATTAGCTCAGGAAAACTGGGAGAGGGGTGTCACAGGCTGGGGTTCCTGCCTGGAATTCTGCTCCCATGGCACTGCTGACCCTCCTTGTCAGGGTGGGCTGAACCCCACTGAGGGTAAAGCTCAATCCTGAGCTCCAGGAAAACCACGGAGGGCACCAGGAGCCACGGGAGCAGAGCCTGGACAGGGCAGTGCCTGCAGTCCCTGAGCAGCCAAGGCAGCACCAGAGATGGAAAAAGCCTCAAAGCTGAGCCAGAAACACCCCTCTCCCCAAAGTGCAGATTCCTGAAGGGAAAAGCCAGAGCCTCGGGAAAGCTCTGCCTGACCTGGGGCGTGGGGCGGAGGAGGCGGAGGCAGAGGGAAAGACTGCAGGGAAGAGCCCATTGGACCCACTAGGACAGATGGAGGCAGCGTCCCACTGATATCATCTAGGAGAGAACAGAGGCAAGAGAGGGTCAGAGAGCAGGAGAGAGACAGAGCAAGTGTGACAGAACCGAGCCAGGAACCCAGCACTGCCCGGAGGAGGGAGGATGGAGCTTCCCCCTGGCAGCTCCTCATCCCCCTCTGGCTTCTCCAGGCCCTGCACACACACACACGTTCCCAGAGGAGAGGAATCCCTTTTCCAGCACGGGAAACAGAGGCAATTCCAGGAGATCTCAGCCCCAGCACAGGGGACAGCTGCTGACCTCACCCACCCCAGGCTGCTCCTGCTCGGAGGGAGCATCCCAGGAGCCTCCACTTCCCCCAGC